TTGTCGGTTATTTTTGTCTGTCTTCTTACCTCGTCTCGAACTCTTCTGGAAGACACTCTACAAGTGTGTCTGCCCGTCTGTCTGCTTGTATACCTGTATCTGTGCTCGTCGGTTATTTTTGTCTGTCTGCTCACCTCGTCTTGAATTCTTCTGGGAGACTATCTACCAGTCTGTCTTGGTTTGTTGCGATAAGTGTTTTACGGCGCTCGCAACAGCATAAGGTCATAAGAGCGCGCGGGACACACCAAACATTTTCAGTTGGTAGGACATTTTGAATTTTGCTCGGGTGGCGGCAGAAGCCTACTCTTATACATTTTGGACCACCAAGGAATCTTTAACAGGCGCAACTTGCACAGGGGACCTCCGAGATGTTTCGCCCTTGTCCGAGAAGGCTTGGTGTAGATCTTACCTACCATAAGATCAGGGGTGTGGCTGAAAGACAGCTGTAAGGAGCCAAGGAGAAGCAGTAGAAAAGCTGCAGAAAGAGTCAGGAGCCCAGAGTAGGAGGCAAACGAGGTGAGGGGTGGGGGCAGAAAGTGGAGACCAAAGCAGACGACACAACATTGTTAGAAAGCAGGAAAGGATCGAAAGGAGAAAATTTGAGAGAAGAAAATATTCCGCCGCTACCCGGATTCCAACCCGGGGCCTTTGAATGAGAGGCGAACACCTTAACCTCTAGGCCACGAGGGCCCCCCACAAGTCTGTCTGCCTGTCTGTCTTCTTGCATGTCTTTTTATTTGTCTGTGTGCTAAGCCAGCCTCGAACATTTCTGGATCACACTGTTAATCTTCTCGTCTGTATGTTTGTCTGTCTGTCTGTCTCTCCTCTTATATCCTCGATTGACGTATGGGCGGTCTCCTCAAAAGTTTTCGTGGAAACTCTGTCGGTGTGTCTGTCTGTGAGTTATTTCTTCATCCATCTCTCCGTTAGACCTCTTTTCCCATCTATTTGTCTGTCTGTCTGTCTGTCTGTCTGTCTGTCTGTCTGTCTGTCTGTCTGTCTGCGTGTGAGTTATTTCTCCGTCTATCCCTCGGTTAGAACCATTACCTCTTTTTCCATATGTTTGTCTGTCTGTTTGTCTGCATGTGAGTTATCCCTCTTTCTATCTCTCCGTTAGACCAATTACCTCTTTTCCCATATTATGTTGTCTGTCTGCGCGCCTCGGACTTCTAGGAGACATTCACTACCGATCTGTCTGTGTGTCCATCTCTCTAGTAACATGAACGTTCCCAGTCTGTCTGTGTGTCTGTTTGTCTGTGTGTCCGCCTTCGTGTGTGTCTGTCTGTATATCTGTCTGTGAGTCTGCATGTCTGTCTACCTGTCATCTGTATGTATGTATGTATGTATGTATGTATGTATGTATGTATGTATGCGTGTCTGCCTGTGTCTCATCTTGTCTTTCCGTCCACATACCTTTTCTGTTCTGTCTGTCTGTCTGACTATTCTCCTTTTCAATTCCTCACAAAATGGGACCCTTTTATAACACAGTTGTTCTGACTGACAATGAACAATACAGCTAAAACTCTGTCTGTCTGTCTGTCTGTCTCTTTGTCTGTCTGAAGGCTCATCTCTCTTTTTATCTGTCCGACTTCCTGTCAATCTGTCCTTGTGTCTGTCTGATTAGGGTACATACGTCTGTCTGTCTGTCTGTCAAACTGTCTGTCTGTCTGTATGTATGTATGTATGTATGTCTGCCTGTTTTGTCCTCTCTATCCCCTCTCTCTCTCTCTTTCTCTCTCTCTCTCTCACTCTCTCTCTCTCTTTCTCTTTGTCTCTCTCTGATTCTGTCTCTCTCTTTGTTTCCCCCTCCTCTCTCTCTCTCTCTCTCTCTCTCTCTCTCTCTCCCTCTCTCTCTCTCTCTCTCTCTCTCTCTCTTTACCTCCCTCCCTCCCTCTCTCTGCCATGTAAACTTTTATCTGAATACACCGAGTCTTCCCCTCTCTTTTCCGTCAATATAACGATTCTTACAACTCTCCTCACCTCTCGCCCCACGCCCTACTGAAAGACAACCTCCTAAAGTAGAGTGTCCAACTATACGATTGATCGGTTCGGTTTAATCAGAATGAAATCAGATCCGGAAAAAGGGCGAGTGTAAACGTGCCAGGCTGAGTGGAGGTGCCTGAAGGTTGAGATGTTGTAATTAATCTTGGACTTTGATCCTTGAAATTTGAAGGGGTCATTTTCTTCGGCTAGGTAGATCTACACCTCATTGACGGTTCGTCGTCTTTTCTGATTGGACCGAACTAAGTGGGTGGAAAGCCTTTAAAAAAACCCTCAATAAACGTATCTTGGTCAAGAAAGCCAATCTGGGTATTTGAACCAAGATTATCCGAAACGTAATTGATATCAACTGAGCTAACAGTACGCTTTCATTACGCACCTAGGCACGTACGCACGCGCACAAGCATACGTACACACACACACACACACACACACACACACACACACACACACACACACACACACACCCCATACCCCCCCAGGGAGGAGAGAGAGAGAGAGAGAGAGAAGATCCTTTGCGTGATAGATAGAGAGAGAGAGAGAATTCATGTATATGTACAGGCAAACCTTTCCTTTTTTTTGTGGATTGTTTTTCCCCGCCCC